ACCCACACACAGACGCACACACAGACCCACAGACCCACAGACCGACACACAGACACACACACAGACCCACAGACCGACACACAGACCCACACACAGACCCACACAGACACACACACAGACACACAGACCCACAAACAGACACAGACAGACCCACACACAGACCGACACACAGACCGACCACAGACCCACAAACAGACACACACACAGACCCACACACAGACCCACAAACAGACACACACACACAGACCCACAGACCGACACACATACACAAAGATCTACATACAGACACACACACCCACACACAAAGACAGACAGACCCACACACAGACACACAAACAGACCCACAACCAGACACACAGACACACAACCAGACACACACACAGACCCACACACAGACCCACAACAAGACATACAGACCCCACAGACCCACAACCAGACATACAGACCCACACACAGACCCACAGACCCACAACCAGAAACACAGACCCACACACAGACTGACCACAGACCCACACACAATCGGCCACTTATCGACCCCAAAAACCGGCCAGTTCGGGGCCCAGAGCCCGGTGATCCCTGGAGGGTTAAAACCCAAACAACAACACACACTTGGGAGTAAAACCAGCAGGTTTCCCAGCCTCCACTTTGCGGAAACTCCCCTCCAACAAACAGCCAAAACAACACAACGCACACTCAGACACAAAACTTTGGAGGAAATCCCTGGTGACATGTCCCTCAAATTAGGACCAAAACCGGCCAGAAAACACAGATTAGTCCGGTTAATTGGGCCGGGCAAGGCCTCAACCAAAACATACCCCCCCCCCTACCTCTCCTCCCCCCCCCTGCGCAGCCCTGTTTACCTCCTTTATAACCATGAGAGGTGATTTATGCCTAAATGATTCCCCCCAAAAATAAGACCGCTGAACTATGCAGCGGTGGCCCTTCCCGGGTTATTTTTACCCGGCCAGAGGCGTCCAGAGGCGGCCGGGGAAGAACCGGAACCGGCCTCCCCAAAATAAGGCGGCAAAAGCCCCCCCACACCCCCCACAGAGGTGCGTTTGTTTTGGGTTTACGGTCCCACCTGGAGACGCAATGCGGGGCTCCGCGTGGAGGAGGGCTCGCGGAGCCCGGAAAACGGCCGGGCAGAGGGCCACGAAAGCCGGGTGGACGCCTCCGGGCGAGACCCCCCCCCTCCGGGCCTGATTTATCATCCTACCCGGGGAGGA